GCCGGCGTGCTGTGAAGCTAAACTCACACAAATACAGTTTCATTTGTCATGCAGTCAAAGTTTGGGAGCATTAATGTAAAGGTGGAGATGTGAGCCGTTTCACACGCAGCTCTGGTTGTTACAGTCACAGGTGCACTCATGCTGGTTTGTTAGGGTTACTGCGTGCCTGCTCACAGCCCAGACTTTGTTTCTTTAACTGTCAGCTACACTTCAAGAACTCGTGGGGTTAAAAACCTGCTCCGCAGCTCTCGGTAATCTGGGTCCTGCCAGCAGTGAAGTTTTTGTTTGGGCTTGTGTTCAGCTGTGTGTTAACACACAAACACTGTATGTGTGTTTTTATTATCAAAGGGATTTATGTGAGTGTGTAGGGCTGTAACGTAAGGTTTATATTATTAACAGGTCAGAGTAACGCAAAAATGATGTAACAAGTAACAAATTACTTAATTACTCCCTGGAGAAAGTAACAGTAATTAGTTTTTAAAAGTAATTTATTTTGAGTAAGAACCCCAAACACTGATAGAAAGCTGCTTTGATCCCTATACATAATTTTCTCCTTCATAACAACTGAATGTTTGCAGAACTCACCTGTTTAAATTGTATTCAGGCTTAAAGGTTGTGGCTGGGGGCGTGGTCTCTTTGACTGACAGGTGGCTGTAGCTGTTAGCTGTGTGCTAGGCCTCCCCTCAGCTAACTGGAGCCCCGTGTTTGTGCTGCTGGAACATTTTTGATGACATTAGCTGATCGATAACTCGGCTGCTGTACGAACAGAGCTCAGGTCCAGTGTTGGTGAGTGAAACTGGGATTTTATTTGGATGTTACTGAGCTCATTAGCAGGTGTGTGTTTGATGCACCTGTGCATGAGTATAGTTAGTAGTTGGTTTCAGCCTTGCAAAACACTGTGAGGAGAAGTACCGCGGTCAAGCCAGCCGTCATTTGTGAGCCGCGGTCAAGCCAGCCGCTTCTTATCCGCCGCATAAATTTCCTTGCGCTTTTACACCAGTCTTTACGGTAGCGCCTTTTCGCTTTATATCCCGATTGAAAGCCTAGACACGCACACACGTGCACGCGCGAACACACATTGCAGTGGAACAGTCGCTAAGACGCTGCCATAAATGCCGGTGTAGAAGCGCAAGGAAATTTATACGGTGGATAAGAAGCGGCTCACTTGACCGCGGTAGGAGAAGTTTGGCTGACAGTGTGGATGACTCAGGCATGACAAGTGTTACAGAATCCAGTGACAGCAGTCAGGTGTGAAACACGAGCAGGGAAGCTCGTGTTGCCTCGTCCACCATAAAAACCTCCCGTCAGGGTAAAGCGCTGTTTCTAAGTAGTGGTTGTATTTCAGGGCTTTAATTCTGTCCAAAGAGATAAAAACGACCACAAAATATCAGAAAACTGATGCGAAATAACTACAAAGAGGCTGGAAACAAGTAGCACGGAGGGATTAACCTCATTTTTTAACCACGTGCTCAGTTTTAATGACACCCAGTGATTAAATCGGCTGTAAACAAATGTTAGTCATACCTCTGTGGAAAGCCTTATCTTCATTTCCTTTATCTAAAGTGCTGTCAGGAGCTTTCAGAGGAATTTTCCTTCAGCTGCGTCTCACTTTTTACACCCACAGTATAAAATCAATAAACGAGTGTTTATGGTGTTTTTGAGCGTTAAACATCGGGGATTTCACGCTGGGCCTT